TTTTTATAATATTTTCTTACATCATAAAATCATAATAAACTTACACTAAACACCTTTGGCACTTTTTGGTTTTCTTGTATTTTACCAGATTTGACTTGCAATTCATAGCAGAACCGCATATATCGCATACGCACGGTCGTTTCGTCTTCTCTTGGTAATATCTTTAGAAATATTGTTCATCGTTCGGTTTTCTATTGTAGTATCCGTCGTATTACCTTCTTCATTAGGGTTTTGTGGGCCTTTAGACTAATGAAATTGCTTCATAGCTTTCTTCAAACGAAAAAGACGTTTCGCTGTCATTGAGTTCTTTATTGCCAAAACCGTTCCAAATAGAAGCAAAGGTTTCATTCGTCATCGGGATTTCAACTCCATTACTTACAAAGTAACAACGCATATGGTATATATAATTACCTATATATTTTAATATTTATTTAAGTATGTTCATCCTCAATAGGAATTATGTATATCAGTTTGTGTTTGTGGTATCGCATACAAGTCCCTAACACGAACCCCAAAACAGTTTCGATATCAAAGTTTATAGGCTTGAGCATTTTACCCTTCCAACTTCCCACCGGTTGATTTACTTTTAGTGACATCCAAACCCAAACATGTTTGGCGTTCAAAACAGTGAGACTTGAGCTTTGTCGCAAGCCAATCCAAAAACCAAACCAATTTCGCCCAAATCGAGCCAGTCTTTCCCTAAAAGCGAGCCAGTCTTTCCCTAAAACAGAGCCAGTTTTTCCCCAAAGTCGGTGGCTGATTTTCCCAAAGTCGGTGGCTGATTTCCCCAAAGCCGGTGGCAGAATCGGTGACGGATTTCGACGGATTTCCCCAAAATCGAAGGCAGATTTTCCCAAAGCTGGTGACGGATTTCCCAAAATCGGTGGTTGATTTCCTGAGAGCCCAGCCTCGTTCACCGGAACCCCAACTCCCGAAGCCAAAAATGCAAAAAACACTTTTGTACATACTTGCTCAAAACACAAAAACAATGAGGGATTTCCAGCCCGCAATCCACTCGTGGAGCTTGCAGGAAAACACAACCGAGGGTGAACCTGTGGATTTCTCAAAAGAACTGCTCCCAAGACCAATTGGTCGGAATTTCTCAAAATTGTCAATACTTTTCCCCCCTTCTTGCTTAACCCTGTCAAAGGCACACCAAACTTTGTCCACTTCTTTTCCACAAATTTTCAATATATATTCCTCCAGTTTTCTTTTCAAGTTTCTCTCAAGAAAGCCGGTTCAAAATCAAGCACTTACCTTCTCCCACAATGCATGGTTGGATTCGTGGCTGTGCTTGGGCGTATACATTGCCCGAGTGAAACGTATCTTGAACAGCTTTTGGTTCACTGTTTCTGTACCCGCTGTGTGCACAACCTGCTGGACAAGAGTGTCAACGCAGTGTCTCATATCTTGTGAGTGATGCACGGTCATGCCACAGCGACATCCACTCTACATTTACTCCAAAGATGGAATTCGTTGAAACTATTGGGAACCCTTGCTCTCAATTGGTTTCACCTCAGCCACAGAAGGGCAAGACAAGTGGAACGCTAGGCGTAACGCTGCTGAGAAAAGCACTCACGCTGATGGCAATGTGAAGCCATAGCAATCTGTCCTTAAAACTGGAGGGAAAAACACAAACTTGAAGTGTGGTCAAACCAGCTGTTTCTCGAACCAAGCGCAACTCAGAGGCGGCAAAAAAAAACAAAAATACATCAGAAGGTTGTAACATTGACATCAGTTTGAAGCCCTGCATGGTTAAAGGCTGCTCAAAACAAAACACCAAGTGCCGGGCTTAGACGTGCCGCGATTGACAGATGCGTCTTCATCTTCCCTAATCCAACTTCCATCCTGCAAATACGCGATGAGCAAACTGGCAAACCACAATGCTGCAAAGGCAAGTTGAGACGGTGGTGTGCAAGGGGTTGGGTGAGGTGTTGTGAAAGAGAACAATTGGACAAATTCACCTGACCAGCGATTGACGAAAGAGTGAAAAGTGAAAAGTGAGCAAAGACATTGCAACGCAAAGCGCTGAGCCGAGTGAACAAACGCTGAGAAATTGAAGCTAATACAACTAGCAAAACAGTTGGTGGCATAAACAGCGGCTCGTCCTGTTGGCTAAAAACATCAATCAAGGGTGCTGCGATGGACAATTTCATCTCCTTCTCAATCGCCTCACGGCAAAACGACAATAACCACCATGCACTTGCACACGCGTTGAACAAAACATGTTCTGGCTTTCATCGCTGCCTGCTTTGTTTGTCTTCTTCATTCAACGTTCACCAAGGCACAGCATCAAGTTTGATTGAACAACAACAAGCTCTGAGCTCTGGACTTTCTTAAGGTCATCCACCTTTGAAATGAATCAAACTGAGCTACGGGCTTTGCATAGAAAGCATGAAGACGAACCAGCAAGAAGGGCAATAGCAAAGCTAAGGTCACTGCGTCTGCCAGCTCTCCGGTGACTTTGAACGGGTTGCCAATCTGTGCGAACTTCTCACCGTCCTGCAATTGCAACAGGCGGTGGGCGACAGCCGATGGCTGCGCCTTTCGAAAAGCAAAGTGCAAAAGAACAATGCGCATGACAAGGAATGCAATGCATTACGCAAGAATTTTGACCTTGGGATGCGAAAATGGCTGAGGGAAGTTTCTTCATGAAGTTTCAGCTGAACAAACCACTTCTGTTCTTAACCTACCACTAGTCAAAGGCTCGAAAAGAAACAAAGGCATAAACTGTTGCATTGACTTTTGCAAATTACAAGCCTTTGATGCTTGAGTGGGAGAACTGATGGAGCACAACCCTATCTTTATTCACACGACCAATCAACACCGGTTTTCGCACAGGAACTTTGCAGAGGAAGAAACAAAACAAACATAGGGATGTAAAAACAAGGTTGCTTGTTCAACGGATGCAACTTTCAACTGTCAACGTCTGTTGAGGTGGGACTTTTTTGGCTTTTCGTCAAAAAGTTCTTCCTACACCTGTCAAAAGGGCATAGCAAAGGAACAAGGGCATGGCAGAAAACATACAAAGTCTTAGTCTAAATCCTCTCTATCAAATTGCGGAAGATGTTGAGAAAATATCATTCAACAAATCCTGAGGAATGAATACGCTACTGCTTGCTTTTTGTGCATAAAACATTTACTTCCCTCAAAAGAACATGGCAAAGGAACAAGCAAAGGGCAAAGAAACAATATGTTGCGTCTAAGTCCTTTCGAAGTTGAATATGACAACATCCAAATAAACAACCATGCAATCGCCCCAACCGTGCTGAAACAAACCGTGACAAGGCAAAGGATGCCAGAAAGAAGGCTGAACAAGCCACTTGTATTTTAACCTAACACTAGTAAGAGGAACTTCCAAAGGGAACAAAGGCATAAACTGTTGCAGTGGCTCTTGCGCATAACAATGCGTTTGACGCTTGAGTGGGAGAATTGATGGAGCACACGCCTACTTTTATGGACAAGACCAATCAACACCGCTTTTAGCACACGAACCGTGCAAAAGCAACACATGAATGGAACTAGGGATGACAAGGCTGCTTGTTCAACACTTGCTGTACCACTCAAAAGGCGAGATGTTGAGGTGGGAACAGTCAAAAGGACATAGCAAAGGAGCAAGGGCATGGCAGGAAATCATACAAAGTCTTTAGTCTAAATCCTCTCTATCGATTGAAGGAAGATTATCAAAATACATGTTTAACAAATCCAAAGGAATGAACAACCCTGCAATCTTCTTCCGAAAAGTCCTGAACCCTTCCAAGTTTGTCGCATGACGGTGTATATTTTTGCGCAGTGGACTTACCCTTAATCACGCTTTTAGTTTGGGGCATGGCTTTTCGTCTTTAAACTCAACCCTTTCCAACCGTGTGCTACTCGCATTTACTTACCAAAGGGCATAGCAAAGGAACAAGGGCGTGGCAGAAAATCATACAAAGTCTTTAGTCTAAATCCTCTTTATCAAATTGAGGAAGATTATTAGAATACATATTTCATAAATCCTGAGGAATGAACGACCCTGCAATCTTCTCCCCAAAAGTCCTGAACCCGGCCAAGTTCGTAGCATAACAGTGTATTATCTTGCACAGTGGACTCACCCTTCATCACGCTTTATTTTGCGGGACAAGAGCATGAACCTGAACGAACGGCGATAATAATCTTCAACCGAACTGTCCGAAAGTCATCAGTGCACTGCTTTGGTCAGAGCAACGACTTTGCTGAAACAAAATGTTTTTTACACAGTCATTGAATGCACTTCTCTGCAGTCCTTGCGGATTTGTCTCACCCAAACGGCTGGTTGTGCAGTCCCAGTACCACCTTGCAGGGAGGAGGTATGGATGCTTGCATCGCTTTATCTATCAACCTCATGATTGTGCACCTACAGTATATAAACCTCAACAAGTTTATTCAACCTCTGTCAGCCTCCTTGTGGAACAGTGTAAGCAAACAGAACCAAAAAAAAACAGTTTCTGAAACACCGTCCTGATGTTGGCAAAGGAATTTGTTGGAGCTTACGGGCAATCAGCAGCTTCATATGATAAGACGAGGGGATGACAGCCCATTCCGTGTCTGCGCCAGTGAAGATGGTGGGTAAACCGAAGGTGATGGCATCCTTGTCGATGACCCCGCCCACGTTCTCCTGGGCAATCATCCTCGCACCTTCGTCCGTCTTCACATTCTTCACCAAAGAGAAGCCTTGCTTCGCGATGTTCTCGAGGTGAGCCCTGGCCGCTGCATTTTCCACACACGAAGGCAGCCCGGGACATCGCACAACCGCAAAGGGGTCGAAGGTATCTTTCTTCCGAATGAGGCTGTCCAAAGCCTGCTTGGTGGTGTAAATGTCGCCGCCAAAGTAGTTGTAGAACATCTCTGCCAAGTCCTCGTCCATGCTCCAATCATCCTTCAGCATCTTGAGCATGTCTGACTCTGGCACTTCGCCGATGATAATGACTTGTCCGATGGTGCTCAAGGCTAAGCCGCTTGCTACCAGACGAAACGGATAGCCAAACTCTGAGGAGACCAGGATCACACTTGCTTGACTTGTC